TTGGACTGATGATCGATCCTTGAGGAATACCGTTATCCTGTGATCTGGGCTTAGACAAAACTCCATTCGACCGGACTTGAAAACTTCGATCTTTCAGAAAATTGGAAATGAAGGCAATCATGTTCCCATCGTATCCCCATGATTGTAGTTTTGAGATTATATCTCTCCTCCATGTAGTATCAAATGCTTTTTTCATGTCGAAATATACTGCGAGGCAATGTTGCTTGTTGCTAAAAGCTTCGTGTATATGTGTATCAAGGTCGATGATATTATCAATAGTGGATCTATTTTGTCTGAATCCGGACTGCTCGTTTATTAGACGATTTCCTTTCTCTAAACTCCACAGCAGCCTTTTGTTTATTATTTTTTCTAGTAATTTACACATAGCACATGTTAAGGATATCGGTCGATATGATTCTGGTACGAGAGGTGATTTATTAGGCTTAAGTATAGGTATAGTGAATGCTTGACGCCATATATTTGGGAATAGGTGTTCAGTCCATATTTTATTATATATATTTAGTAGGTGTTGTTTTGCTGTTGCTGGGAGTTTTTTCAGAAATATGGAGGGTATATCATCAGGTCCTGCAGAAGTTTCTTTTAAGTCGTTAAGTGCTTCCTCCATTTCGTGCTCAGAAATTAATTTGTTCATTGGGTCTTGGTTGTTCTGGATTAATATTTGTGTTGCTTCTACGTTGGTCTTATGTATTAGAAATTCTTGATTGTAATTCTGGTTGCTAGAATTTTTATGGTAAGTTTTACTGAGTGCTTCAACTATTCTTCTGCTATCTGTATGTGTTATATTGTTTTCTTTTAAACATCTGATTGGAGAGTATGATGGGGCTCCAGCTACACTTTTTATTTTTTTCCAAACTGTCGCTAGTGGTGTTGAGCTATTTATACTGCCAACAAAATTCCTCCAGGAGTCTTTTTGATTCTTTTTTGTTGTTAGCTTAGCTTGTGCTCGTTTTTCTTTAAGTTCTATCAAATTTTCGATAGTTCTGTTTCTTTTAAACTTGTTTACTGCTTGCTTAGTTGCCTTGATTGCTGTATTACATTCTTCGTTCCACCATGGAACAGGAATTTTATTCATAACTGGTTTAGTTTTACCAATGCTGGTGTGTGCTGCATTTATAATAATATTATTGAACTCGTGTATTGTTTCATCAATGTTCTCTTTTATTTGAGTTTTGTGTAAATTGTGTTCTATATATTTCGAGAAGTGTATCCAGTCTGCTTTTTTCAGGTTCCACTTTTCAGGTAGTGTATCACTGTTCAATTCTCCTGGGTTAGATATGACTATAGGAAAATGGTCGCTTCCATACAGGTCATCTAATACGCTCCAGTTCAGACGGGTTACAAGATTTGTCGAGCTTAAGCTCAAATCTATTGCTGATGTTGTTCCAGTTCCTAGATCAAGTCTTGTTTCAGTACCATCGTTTAGCAAATTAAGATCTGTTGTATCCAAAATATCTTTTATTATTTTTCCTCGAGTATTGTTTCTTCTTGATCCCCAAGTGTGATGATGGGCGTTAAAGTCACCTTGGATAATTCGAGGTGATGGTACTTGTCGGAAAAGTGCCTCCAGTTCATTTGTATCTAAGTGATAATTGGGTGGTATGTATATATTGCAAATGCTAATATTCTGAGAGCCTTCTATTGTGACTGCGACTGCCTCTAGCTGAGTGTTAAGGTTTATGGGCTTGGCTACTATGCTACTTTTGATATAAATGGCAACACCTCCACTAGCTATATAATTAGAGCTATCATTGCGGTTCTTAAAGAATCCCCTGTAATGTTTTGGCGTGTGTGTTTTTGTTTCGTGGAATCGAGTTTCTTGTAAACAAATTATGTCAGGGTTTTGATCTGAGATGAGTTTATGTAGCATGTTTAAATGGCTGTGGTATCCATTTAGATTCCATTGTAAAAGCGACCTAAGACCAATGAACATAGTATATAATTTAATATGTTGTGGAGTCCATTGAAGAGGTGTCGCTGAGACATTCGTTAATGTTATTGTCAGTATATCGTTCTAGTTTTTTCCGTAGTCTAGTACATCTGTTTTTCACTGCTCTATCTGCTATGTGAGGGTACACCAGTAGTATCATTTCAATGAGCCCTTTAGTGTCATCTGTGTAGTCTTGGATTATGCTCATTATATCATGGGTTCCGTGAGTGTTTTCTAGGAGGCTTTTGAATTGGTCACTATTCAAGGTAAAAGCAGGGGTTTGGGCGTCTATGAATGTTTTAACGTCTTCATATGCCTCTTGAGAGATATATGACGGCTGACTATTTGTCTTTTGTTTCTTTATTCTTGTGTTTTTGGGTTTTGGAAATATAGGGGAATTTGTGAGGTCTGATGAGGGATCATGTATTGGTGTGGTCGGCGAAATTGCTTCTGAGAAATTTCGTTTGGAGGATGTGCTGGTTTGTGTATCCGTTTGGTTATTACAGGTTAAATCATGTAATGCAACTGTGTTTTGTTGTTCTGTTTGAATGGGTTTGATATGGCTTTGAACCTCTGCTTCTTGTGTGTTGGTTGTATATTGAGATGTTGCTGGTTCATGACTTGATGCTGTAGTTATTTGTTGCTCGTTTACTTGTTGAGTGTTTGCCGTTTCCAGTTGATTGGTAGACTGTGGTGGTGTTTCTATTATGTTTGTTTGCAGTTGGGTAGAAAATGGGCACTGGGAAGCTATATGTCCTTGTCTATTGCATTTGAAACACTTTTGGCTGTCTAATGATAGAAAAATGCGGTAGGTTATGTTATCATGCGTTATTTCTAGTGACTCTGGGAGATTTGCCGAATTTTGGTTGGGTTCAATATATACTTGTCTTCTAAAACTGAGTATATGGCTATACTCAGGCAATGGAGCTCCAATTCTCAAAAAAGTAAGTGGTGAGACTAGTTTCAGGCCAATTTGTAATAATTTTTCATTTATAACTGTGTGTGGGACTGTAGGACTCACATTCGAAATTACTAGTCGATCGGATGGTGTTATTAGTCTGCGTGCTTTTATGATCTCACCATTGAGTTCTATTTGTCCAGGATTTTCTAGAAATTTATCGACTATATGTTTACTTGCTAAGTATATACAAATTCTGTTATTCGAAATTCTAGAACAAAAAAGTATATTTTTAGGGCTGATTATTGGACCAAGTTTTAGTAAGTAGTCCTGCAGTCTAGTTCCATTACTAGAATTAAATATTATTGCTTGATCTTTATTTGGATATCTGAATGTATTTTGAGTCAGTACGTTGGAGTATGATTGAGCTGTTGTGACATTTTGGGATGCATTTTGGTGTTCAACGGATGCCATTATTGAATTTCTATAATCGCTCCAGGTGGCCGTCGTATCATTTCTCGATACGGACCTGACTCCTCGAGACTATTTGTTTTGGAGAGTTTTTACTATGCTGTGCTGTACGAGTCTGCTGTACGGTTTATTATTTATTTCGATTCCTGATATAATTAATCAGATAAAGGTTGAGTATGTACTCACAGTGTGTCCGTATAGGCTTAAATTGTTGCACTGGTGCTGTTGCAGAAAAATTTCGTTTGATATTCACTACTAAATTGTTAAAATTTGTAGAGGTTCGCTGTATAGCTAACAAGGCAATTTCGGTCAGGGCCGAACTCCTACGTTCGAACTTTGTAGAGCTAGTCTTGCCAATTTTCGCTCATAGAGAAAAGTACTTGGAAATTACGTTATGAAGCCAATACTCCGTTGGAATAGAAATTATGGAAAATACCTCATACACTACACTATAGCTTAATTTGAAGCTGTTAGCAGTCGAAACCATTCAGAAATGAAATATTATATAACACATAAATATTTTGAGATATCCCTTAATTTCGCATAGATATCTCTAAATCATTGGTAATTCGGAAATCAATATTCATATTGTTCAAGACACGAGTTCAATCATGTATACTTTACCTCTCCTCCTTCTAGTGGTACGATTTTCGAATATTCGGTAGTACATATCACGGAGTCATCCCTGGTTATTGGAGCTAAGCTTTCCTTTCCAAAAAATGTCTCGCAGTCTGCTGGTGAGTCCGAAAAGTATTGCCAAGGTGTGTAAGTTTTACCATAATCAGCTGACTTCTCCAAAACCCATAGGCCTGGTCTAGGTGAGATGGCCATTTTGATGTAGACGTACGCCACGTGGAATTCCTAGAAAAATATTTAAAGATATATTTTTTACTGATTGTATATGTGTTACAATTGAATTAAATATGATTGATCTGGATATCACGAAAGATTTCGATCAGTATGCTGCCCTTGTATACAAGCTTCCATCCTATATCCTCCCATAGCTTTGCAGACGTTTTTCCATCAATTTTTCATTGAGATGCGACCAAATTTACCCGTCGGTCTGTGTAATCTTTTGACGTAGTGCAGACTATACTTTAACATGCTCATAGCGCTTTTGCTCAAAATCATAAAACAAGGATACTGCGGCGCTCCCAGGATTTCAGTCTGGGAGGGGTAAAATGGAAAGTAAATTCTCAGTGTGACGTACTGAAGTGTTGTAATGATTTAACATTAAAAGCATGGACATATGAATTTGTTACAGTAATTTCTGTAGAAAATACATACAATTTTTTTTAATTTTGAATCATACGAAATCAAAGTGTAAATAAAGCAATATATTAAAACAAAAATGCAAAATAATATAATCTATCACAGACTTTTCTACATAACAATGTAAGACAAAACAACAAAAAATACATCTTCATGAAAAAAATAACAATAGCAAATATGTTACGACTTCTATAAAGTATAAAACTGAATGTAAATCAAAATAAAATTCTTAATCATGAGAAAAACACAAAAAATATTCATTGCATAACTACATTCTCTTATCCAAAAAACAAAAACATATAAACTATGAAACTACATCAGTTCACAGTCTCAAAATAAAACAATCATTACATTAGCTTAGAAAGTGATTTGAACAGAATTTGAACAGACTTTGATATCAATGTGCTGGCCAATAAATAAAACCACATATCTTGATTGGATACTTTGGAAAAGATCACCGTGGTGGTTTAAACGTAAACCGTATCTAAAATTCTCTTCATTATTAAAGACATCCTCGTCATTCGTGCTGTCGTTAGAAAAAAGTCGTCCCCTATCTCTATGCCCTCTAAGTGGTATATTTTGGCGTCCTAAAAAAATTATAGATTCTATTATAGGAGTCAATCTTTGCCGAATTTCTGATATTTGCTTAATTCGCTCTGAACCTATTATATTTCTTATATCATTCCCTGGATTTTCGTAAATCTTTCAAAAGTGTGTATCATCTGAAACTGCTTCTGTATGATATATTGAGTTTTCATGTGTCTCACAATCACCGGTTTTGCCATACAGTTTCGAAAATTTCTTTAGTGGTACGGTAACAAATTTTTCCAATTTAGTTGTACTCCTAATTTTGTAAAAACCACGCAATATTTACAGAAAAGCTCTTGTAGTTTCTCTGAATATGACAGCCAAGGAAATTTCTCAAAGTGTTTCACATTCATTATTGTTTTTTAAGTGTGTGGAATAGGGATAATTGAAAGAGTCATTATGGATCATTGCACACCTCAATGAGGTATATGCATGGGAAGACAAGTTGCCGCTGAAATTTACATATGACGCAGCATCAACAAAATTGGATCCTTTAGGTTTCGCATCCGATTGTTCAACACTTGGTTCAGCATACGGTGCAACATCAAGAAATTTTGAAGTGGAAGGCTCAGGTTGAATTGTAGGATTATCATCATTGTTTCCGGTCACTCTTGTGCCGGTGGATCAGACAGTTTGTTTTGTTTAGAAAGAAACCAATCGATGGTATTGTTTCCTTTTACTCATCCTGACAACAGCAGCGGTCAACGAGCACTAAAAGTTACACAACGTCAAATAAACGGTATTATTGGTTTCCACGCATTCACGTATCTCATAACAAAGAACCTTTTCTGTTTGGAAAACAAGATTTCTTAAGTTCACGCAATTTTAAAACTCTAAATATATAACTTGCCATCTCGTACCAACGAAATGCACTGAAGTGCTTATATACAAGGACTTCCGAGACAAAATAGACATAGATGATAATGATAGCTGGAGTATGGACAAACACTTCGTAATTGAAATTATATTATATTTCCATTTTTCCGTCTGTCATTTTTTGGACACGATTTTATAGTATAAAAACAAACAAAAAAAAATAATTTTCTGGCTTATGCGTGGAAAATAAAAAATCAATAGAACATAGAAAATAGCTTTAATACCGACCGGATCAATAAATCTCCGCTTGTTCATTTCTCAGCCAAATTTTGTTGCGGACTCCAGACTGATACAGAATTTAGACACTAGATAAATAAAATACTAGACTATACCTGTTCCAACAGGAAGAAGCGCACACCGTTGCTGTTGGTGGGAGAGTAGCCGCTAGTCGCATGCGCACTGAGCGGGTTGGCAGTGTTGCCGCTATCCTTTCTTAAAGTTACAGATTTTTTTATAAGACGTTTACTTTATACCACCTTTTCAAAGACTGCTAGAGTCGTCTGGGGGCGGGGTAATGACCCGCTTCACCCCCAACGGTACGGTACTTTCCAAGTTATAGACTGGCGGACAGACAGATAGACGAACCGATCGAAATGAGTGACATGATTTTTCGTGATGGAAATATCAAGCGACAACCAAAAAATATAATATTTCATTTCCAAAATTTTGCCAGTAGGCATGGGAAGTAAAAGAAAGAATCTTTTTAGATTTAAACTCGTGTTTATGGTGGAGTGAGGATTGAATGTTATTCCACGATAGCAAACTTTAAATTTTGAATTGATTCTAACAAGGTGGTGAATTCCTAGCGCGAAAAAAAGAAGGGACTTCTGATAGTACTAGAACGATAGCTATGATGTTCACATATATTTTACTCACTGTATACAATATTTTGAAACAGATATATTCCCATTCATATTTTGTACACAATTATCTCTCAGGCCAAAATGCTATCGGAAATATGACGGTGGGTGGTTATTTCCTTCATTATATCAGTGTGACTGTGGTGTTTATCTCTTATCAAAGGATGTCAAGCTTTGGGACGCTAGATGAAGAATGAATTCAGTTGGCCTTTACATTACAGACTAATGGATCTCTCTTTTATAATCAGTTCTTTTTTTTTCTTCAAGTAATTTTACGCAAAAAATTGAAATATTGGGAGTTTTGAAACCAACAAGTGTGTTATCAAATGTCAGATTAACATGTACAAAATAATTTACTCAAACATACGTATATATCAGCAAATTCGTGCCGGCAAATCTCTGTGTTTAGCTGGTTTTTGTATATAATTATTTACAGTATCTTGAATGAATGAATGAGTTAATCTTGAAGTTAGAGGCACTCCGGCCACCATAAGGAGCCAGTGCATAGGCCGCTTAAGCGTGCCCTTATGCACCTCTACATTCCTTAGATCACAAGCCTCGCCCTTTTAGCGAAGTTGAGAATTGCCTTGAGTCCAAGCACCACGACGTCCTGAAGGTCCAAAGTAATGGACCCCAGTATAGTCTGCCTATAGTAGCTCAGAGCTTCACATCGATACAACACGTGCGCCGAGGTCTCTTTCTCTACCCTGCAGCGTTCACACAAGGGATCCTCAGCCACCCCCATCACGTGCAGGTTGCGCATTAACGTGTTATGGCCAGACAACAGTCCCACCAGCAACCACGTCTCCATTTTCCTTCTAGCTCTATGCGCGGTCACTCCTAGATCTGGCTCAGGACCAACGAGCTTGCTGGCTGATCCTATCTTCGCCAGAGTGTCCGCCGTCTCATTGCCCCTTATCCCAGCGTGCCCCGGTACCCATATTAACGATACCGGATGCCTCGCTGCGAGAACCTCCCTGCTTTGCAATATAAGACTCGAAGTAATCTTACAGGTACTTAGTGCTTTCATTGCAGCCTGGCTGTCGGATAAGATTGTTATTCTTCTCCTAGGCCCACCCTCCTCCAGAATGTGAGATACACAAGCCAGTATCTTAAAGCCAGACTGATTCTACTTAAAACTAGGTCTTGCAGTTTTCTTCCAGATGCACCGTTCACGAAATAAAAGATTACCTGTTCATTGTTATTAAAAAATACTAATCGATCCGACACTTTTTTTAACGAACATAACGAAAAACTCCAAGCGGCACTACTTTGTGAAAATGGCATTTTTGCAAAAAAAAAATACCTTACAATGTTTGTCTTAGCATACATTTTAAGCACCCCGTATAATGGAAACGGGGAATTTTAGGGCCTTCCATGTTTATAGCAACTATCTTGCATAATTTCTGTAACACCCTATATAGGATCTACCTTGGATCGAATATCGTTGATTCTATTTTTGACTACCATTCTTCTGGACTGGGTGAATATTTCTCTGTATTGACCAATTTTAGTGGATTGGTGCACACAGTACAGTGTGGTTTAGAAAAACGTGGCGATATATCAAAAAAAGAGTTCATTATAATAATATGCCCTAAAATGTCGCAGAATCAAGATACAGGGCATTGTGAATTAATACGCCACTGATTAGTCAGGATGAAACATGAACATAACGCGTGAGCGAGGATTGCCATTCTACTACAATTCATAAAATTTTCAATGTCAAATCTCACGAACTTCATTGACAACACTATCGAACCTAAGTACTACTACTAACTACCATTTTCATAGTTGGCCTTGAAAATGACAGCTTATCACATGGATGTCTAATTAAATCACCAATGCTTCAGTTATTTTAGAATGACGAAAGCGCTCCTCATATCATTTCAGCCATTGATATACAGGGTGTTAATAAAGTATGTAGACAAACTTCAACCATCGAATCCTTGATCAATTTGAAGACGAAATTTCAGTATGAACATGAGCCCGCAACGGATTTGTTTTCAAGCTAGAGCATATTAGCACTAAAATAAATGATGATGTTCTAAAAAATTGTAAAAGAATGGAATGTATTTTATTTTAATTAAGTATGCCCTGTGGTGAATATCGAATACGAGAACAGCAATAATAAATTTCCATAATAACCATGTATGGTGTGAAGAAAATCCCCATGCCTAAATTGAACCTAATATGCAACACGACTTCAGACATTTAGTCTTCAAACTGACCAAGGATTCGATTGTTAAAGTTTATCTACACTTTATTAACACCCTGTGTATTTAGGAAACTCTATTTTTTTAAATAACTAAGGCTTGGCAAAGTCAATATGTCATCTGCATTTTTATAATGAGAATCAAAAACTCTATAGACCTGTGAGATTTATTTTGGCGTCCATAAGGAAAAATAAGGTTGATGCTTGAGGACAAAAGACGAATCGTCATTTTGGAATCCTAGTTACGCCTTCTTGTAGAGAAGAACAAATGAAAATATTAATATGTTTTTTATTTTATATCCCATCTCAAATAAAGTCAAGAAAAGATAAAAACGATTTTGGGAAATTTCAGCTTTGTCCGTCTCTCTCTCTGGAAACATTCGGAATTGTGCACCTTTCTATGTATCATTTTATTGTTTATCTAAATATGCAATTTTTCCCCCATATAAGTATCTCTTACCATTTCCGCGAATGGGCACAGTCGACTTGAAAAACCAGATATAGATAGAAAATATACATGTAAAAAATTTTGAGTCATTGAGCCGTATTCATAAAACAAAGGATATCCCTGTACTTGCAAATTTTGAAGGAAATCCTCCAGATGCTATTTATAATAATTTGAAGCAAATGCTTTTGCTTTTTGGGTATAAGCATATCCTTCAAAGCAGACACATAAGTAAAAGGATATTCATAGTCTTCACCTTATACTTGGCATAGGAAGCATATCCTTCAAAAATTCTGAGTGTGGTCAGTAACAGACTCAACTTCGTAACGAAAGGTGGTCAAACGATGATGGGGGAAATTGTTGATGTTAGGGATGTTAAAACGTACAAACCTCGGTAACCTTCACTGGATCGTGTCTTCAAAAAATTATATCTGTTCGACGAAGCAAATGTACAATGGCTTGTGGACAGATTTTTAGTTGAGAATGAGGAAAGTCGAGGAGGAGCACTTTCATGTATTCATAAAATGAAGATATGTCTACGCTATCTCGGTGACCCTGGATATCCACAAGGTATTGGTCAGGAACTTGGTGTTAGTCAAGCAACGG